TTCAGTCGCTCAAGGAAAGAAAATCAAGAAGCAAAAGCTCATCTGCGGTAAGAGAAGTTTATTTTAAATTGTCTTTTTTCACATGAGCATTTATGAGCATTACTATACTGCACACGTTTCAGAAGTGTGTAGTTATATAAATCTTGAGGGTGAACAGGTAAATACAGGTGAGATGACGGATGGGAAGAAGGTAAACAAAGTATCAAACTCAAGTGTATTTTAAAGTTTTATTGATCCCACAACCTCTCAGGGCATGTTTTTGATTATGAGTGCTAGAGACGTGAGCTGCTGCCTTACTCCCATTACTTTCTTTCTTTTCCCTTAGAACCATCTGGTAGTCACTGAAGAGCTGCACATCATCAAGTTTGTGACAGAGTTTCAGTACGCAGGACAAAGGTGCAACATCGAGGTAAGCAGCATGAACTTCAGCTTTGATGGCGTTCTCTAGTCCTGATCTTTAAAACTGGTTGCTGTGGTGGAGGGTTTGTACTTTTATTGACTGGTTTCCTCCTCTGCTGTCGGTCCAGGCCAGCTCCCTGCCCGTGGTCGTCATCTCCAGCACGAATCAAGTCCCCAATGCCTGGGCCTCCATCATGTGGTGGAACATGGTGTCCACCAGTGAACCTTGGGTAAAATTTTGTCACAGCCAACAAACACTAGTAACATCTGTTAAGACAAGCCAGGAAACTTCATTGTGGTTCTTTGACTTTTCCCTGCAGGACCTGTCGCTGTTCCTGAATCCTCCTCCTCTCACCTGGGAGCAGCTGTCACAGGTGCTGAGCTGGCAGTTTTTGACCGTTGGCAAACGAGGGCTTGATGAAATGCAGCTCTCCATGCTAAGAGACAAAATTATGGGTAAGTAAATGAAATCTAAGCCAATTTTTTCAATTACTTTTTAAAAAGACATTTATATTTCATTTGCAGTGTTGATGGGAGTTAATTTTAGAGCTCATTTTAGTTATTAAGCTGTGTATATAAAGATATATCTTGCATATTGTGTGTCGTCTTAAAAGCCTGACGTTTCTGTGTATTTTTTGTTATTGAAAACAATATCGCTAAGGATCAAATTTAAAAAAAATAAATAAATAAAATTACTTGCATGTTAAAATTTTTTTTTTTTTATATAAAATCAGTACTGACCAGTACAAAAATAGTTTTTTGCATTTTGGAAATCACTATTATTTTTACTGAAATGATACAATTAGCATGCAAAGCAGATTGTTAGCATAGATTAGCATGGAAAATACATTGTTAGCTTGTAGCATACAGTAAAAAGCAGAGTACATAGTTAGCTTAGCCCTGACGTGCAAACATTTCAATGTGCACATGAAGAATAAAAAAATATGTGCACAGGTAAAAACAAACAAACAAGTAGTGCAATGATTACACATGTACTATACTATCTAATATTAAAATTTATAAATACTATAAAACACTTTATGGTAATGTTTTTGTTTTTTTTTTTTTAAATGTAACAGTTGGTGCTGCTGCAGATGATCCTGACGGCGTGGTGATCTGGAGCAGCTTCTCCAAGGTGGGTCTTAAGATAAGTTCCTGTAGTTTCCTTGAGTCTGACAGCAGCACACAGGGGCTTGACTCTTTGTTTTCCTGTGGCGCAGAACGAAAATGCCTGGATCTGGATCGATGGCATCCTCGATTTAATCAAGAAACAGTTGGTGGATCTTTGGCGTGACGGGTACGACTTCACACTGACATCCAAACTTAGTTTAGCAACATTTCTTAAAGTTGTAGTACAGTCATATAAGGAAAATGTGCTAATGTAGAAGGGTGTGGCGTTTCCTGTGTGCGACTTTCAGATCCATCATGGGGTTCGTGAGCAGGGAGAGGACACGCCTCCTGCTGCAGGAAAAACAGGCCGGTACTTTTCTGATCCGGTTCAGTGAGAGCAGCAAAGACGGCGCCGTCACCTTCAGCTGGGTCGACCACTCCAACGGTGGTATGTTCCTGAGCCCACTGAGGACAATTTAAATAACTCTGCTGGAAGAAATAGAATAGTTATAATTATGTATTCACTATAAAGTATATTTACCTTAAATTGTGTGTTTGCTGACTGCAGTGGTTTGTCCTGCTTTGTATTGAAATGTGTTTTCTCCCCCTGTAGAGCCTCATGTGCATGCAGTACAGCCGTACACCAAGAAAGAGCTGTTGGTGTTACCTCTGCCAGACATCATTTACCGCTACAGTCTGGCATCCCAGCGAAGCAGAAATCCCCTGGTCTACCTTTACCCCGACATCCCCAAAGACACCGCCTTCGGACGCTACAAATCCCCCGGTATCACCTCTCACATCACTTCCTCCATGAAAATTACAACAAAATAAATAAATAAATAAAAATCGAAAACAGTGAATATAAATTTTATCTTGTACTCTGTCATAAAATAAAGATAAACTCCGTCATGAAGTGTTTACCATTTCAAATAATGTTGAGATGATCCAGTTTACTTTCTGTGTAATGAGCTCAATCCTGTCTGTCCACCCAGAAACATCAGAACCTTCAGGGGATGGATATCACCGCAGAATACCTTCTTTTATATCCAAGTAAGTAACAGTAACAAAAATGCTTCTGCAGTGTGTCTGAATTTAATTTTAATTCATTATTATAATCTTTTTTTGTTTGTTTGTTTTTGTACAGCGATCCTACGCCACCTCCTTCTCCACCCAATGAGACCTACATGATGGAAATGGACAATGAGCCGGAAACAAGTGTAGGTTTATTATTTATTTTTAGGTTTATTTTCCCGCAGCCCTTTAAAGTAGACTTAATTTGTTGGGATAATTTTATTTTATTTCTTTGTAAAGATCTGGTTCAAGAACAGCTTATTTACAATTTTGCCGTAGCCTGTTGAAAACATGAGTACTAAAA